TTTTCTTTCCATAGACCCTTCCTGCCCTGTCACCTGGCAACTTCTGCTTCGTGTTTCATCTTTAAAAGTCACTTCCACCCCAGCTCACCAGGTTGGGCTCAGTGGATAGAGGGTGTGCCTGCGGACTGAAGGTCCCAGGTTTGATTCAGGTCAGGGCACATGTCCGGGTCGCAGGCTCGATCCCCAGTAGAAGGCGTGCAGGAGGCGGCGGATCGATGATTCTCTCTCATCACTGATGTTTCTGTCTCTCCCTTCCTCTCTGAAATCAATAAAAACATATTTTTTTAAAAAAATTGAGTGAGGATGAGAGGCTGTGGAGTGGGGGCAACCCCGAGGAAGGAAGGCCGTGTGTTTGGTGAAAGCGTCTCCATGCCTGAACGTCTCTCACAGACAAACGTGGCTGTTGTGTGGCCGGTAATGAGCAAGGAAATGTGTCTGACGGCAGAAGAGGGCAGAGTGAGGGGAACAGGCCCCCGCTCTCTGCAGCGCTTCCGAGGGCCGGCTGCCCCGGCACAGCTGCGGTGGCCACGGCCAGGACATATTTTCAGCCATGAACAGGGCACTGTTCCGCCCAGCTGCGACACAGGAAGGCTCGGCTCCTATTAATTTCTTGGGCCATTCATGAGGACAGTGACCTCCATGTCCCCGCAGGGCACTCCAGGGGGCTGTCCTGGGTAACTCTGTCGGAATTCCATTGTAATTCGGGGCTGAAGGACCACGGAAAACTTTCTCCCAGCTATTGGCAACCAGCACGTAAAAGACTTACATAAAACCCTGAGAGTGAGGCTCCCCCGATGGGGTTGCATTTACATAAAATGGTCTGTATTTTCTTTTTTAAATGTATTTTTACTAGAGGCCCGATGCATGAAATTTGTGCATGGGTAGGGTCCCTAGGCCTGGCCGGGGATCAAAGGGGTGAGGGGGAGGCCCCCCCGCTGGCACGTGCTTGGCTGGCCTCGGACCTGCAAACTGGGGGTAGCTCCTGCATTGAGCATCTGCCCCCTGGTGGTTAGTGCGTGTCATAGTGACCGGTCATTCTGCCGTTCAGTCAATTTGCATATTAGGCTTTTATTATATAGGATTGATTTCAGAGAGGAAGAGAGAAGGAGAGAGAGAAACATCCATGATGAGAGAGAATCATGGATCGGCTGCCTCCTGCACACCCCACACTGGGGATGGAGCCCACAACCCGGGTATGTGCCCTGACCGGGAATCGAACTGTGACCTCCTGGTTCCTAGGTCGATGTTCATCCACTGAATCACGCTGGCCAGGCAGTATTGCAGTCTTTAATCACTTTTGAGAGCCAAGCTTCTCCTGGGAACTGCCGGGTCCAGGAAGCTCAATGGCCATTGGTCTGGTGACCTTCTCCTGAAGAACATTTTTCCGGTGCCTAGTCGTTCCGGCAGACCTTCTCTCCAGGTTTTCAAAGAAACTTTCCCAATAGACCAGTGGTTCTCAACCTTCCTAATGCCGCGACCCTTTCATACAGCTCCTGATGTTGTGGTGACCCCCAACCATAACATTATTTTCGTTGCTACTTCATCACTATCATTTTGCTACTGTTATGAATCGCTGTGTAAATATCTGCTATGCAGGATGTATTTTCATGGTTACAAATTGCACATCATGAAAGCATAGTGATTCATCACAAAAACAATATGTAATTATCTATGTGTTTTCCGATGGTCTTTGGCGACCCCTGTGAAAGGGTTGTTCGACCCCCAAAGGGGTCGCGACCCACAGGTTGAGAACCACTGCCATAGACCGTTTCCACTTGTATGACTAAGAAGTCAACATGAGAAATGAACCGCTGTAGCTGGTCCCGCCTCGGAGAAAGTGACATGTCTGTGCTTCGCCTGCAGCACGTTTAACTGGACGGTGCCCTTCCTTTCCTTCCTGGCCTGTGTGGTGCTGGCGGTCGCCACCGTCACGTTGTACTTCGTCCCACTTCGGTACCTCGTGTTGATCTGGGGTAAGTGTGGCCCGGCCCTTTTGCTAGCAGTCCATTCCAGGTAAGAACCAATTACTCATTTTTTTTTAATATTTTTTATTGATTTCAGAGAGGAAGGAAGAGGGAGAGAGAGAGAGAGAGAGAGAGAGAGAGAGAGAGAGAAACATCAATGATGAGAAAGAATCGTTGATCAGCTGCCTCCTGCACACCACACTTGAGCGCCGGGGACCGAGCCTGCAACCTGGGCATGTGCCCTTGATCACATTCGAACCTGGGACCCTTCAGTCCACAGGCCAACACTCTGTCCACTGAGCCACACCAGCCAGGGTCAATAATTATTCACTTTTTAAAGTGTGACTATAAACTCTGAATGTGCTCCTGCTGGCAATTAAACACGAGCTGAAAGAAAGCGTATAGGCAACCAGGAACCCAGGACCTCCCTGGAAAGGCCAGCTTGGGTGAACCATCAGCATCGCTATTGAAAGGGCGGTTGCATACCTGTGATCCAATGAAAGTGGGATCGTGCGTGTGACTTCCCTTCGGCCTTCGTAGCCATAAATCCCCTGGAATAACATATGGCTGTGGTCCCGTAGCCTTGCGTTTGCACTGTTATTCAAACAGTGAGCGAACACCTGCACCTCGCCCTTCGTAGTGTGTGAAAGTAGCCAGGTTGCTCCTGACACTTCATCTCTCCTGGAGGGAAAGAATAGCCCAACCCAATACTTAAACCCAGAAGCAGTGGGGGTAAGGGAGGGCCAGGAAGGAGAGGAAGGTATAATTTACCAGGGGAAATGGTGTGCCCATATACAGGTTAGCTGCTTTTAAAAAGGCAGAAACCAAAATGGCAAACTGGAATTAAATTGATTTACCACCCCGGCCAGCAGTCGGCCAAAATCCAGGCGGCTTGGTGAGTATTTGCGATGGTCGCTGGGTGGGCTGTGAGTTGATGTGGGAGGGTGCGTTGCAGGAAATTAAGTGGGAGAAGCCATCCGCCTTTCCCCACAAGAGTCTGTGTCAGGCCTGGTTTTCCGTTACTTGGCTCCGATGACTGCTGCGGCGTTCACAGGCCCAGCTGGCGTGGCTCAGTGGTTAAGCATCAACCTATGAACCAGGAGGTCACGGTTTGGTTCCCGGTCAAGGCACATGCCCAGGTTGCAGGCTCGATCCCCCATCGGGAGTGTGCAGAAGGCAGCCTATCCATTATTTCCTCTCATCATGGATGTTTCTATCTCTCTCTCCCTCTTCCTTCCTCTCTCAGATCAGTCACAAAAAAATATATATATATATTTTAAATATATTCGCAGGCTCTATCCACTGAGCTAAACCGGTCAGGGCTATATATATATATATTTTTCAAAGGCGTGCTTTTGAAGCTTGCAATTTGAGTGCCTTATAACTTTTTATTCCAGCTAAGTTTTCCATAGTCAGTCTCAGTGCATTGTGGGCTACCCCTGCCCTCTCTGGTGCATCGGAGCGACGATGCAGGTTTATAATCTTCTCAGTCACTAAGAATGTGGTGTTTTGATCGGCTGGGGTATTATCCCTGCCTGGCTGTTCATTGTAAAGACTCCAGATGCGCACACTGTATATAATTAACAACAGAAGATATATCCTTTCTCCGCCCGTCTTTGTCTCCCTGCGTCGTTTTGCCTTGTCTGTTTCCTGTTGCCAAAGAGCCCATGCTACAATTAATGCCTTTAGAAGAACACAGGCCGTGGATTTTAGCTTAAAGGAACGTGCAGGGGATGGGGAGTGGGGGAAGGGACGGGGGTAGTTTTAGCTAGAAATATCAAGCTTCTGTGGGGATAGACGGGAGACAGACAGTGTGGCTCTCACTTGGGAGAAAAGGGATCATTTGCAAGATGTCTTCTTCCCCGGCCCAACCATCACGCCTCCATCCACCCGTGAACAGTGGCCTGGCCTCCATTTGCAAAGCAGATGGTCACCTGACCCTCTCGCTCTAAGGTAGTGGTTCTCGACCTTCCTCATGCCGCAACCCTTTCATACAGTTCCTCATGTTGTGGTGACCCCCCAACCATAAGATTATTTTCGTGGCTACTTCATCACTGTCATGTTGCTACTGTTATGAATCGTCATGTCAATATCTGATCTGCAGGATGTATTTTCATTGTTACACATTGAATATCATTAAAGCATCGTGATTAATCACAAAAACAATATGTAATGATATATGTGTTTTCCGATGGTCTTAGGCGACCCCAGTGAAAGGGTCGTTCGACCCCCCAAAGGGGTCGTGACCCACAGGTTGAGAACCACTGCTCTAAGGAAATGCCTGGAGGTTGGCATTGTGTCAGGTACAGGGCCATCCAGGAAGTCCCGCCCTTCGGTGAACGTAAAGTAATCATCAATGAAATTAGGAAAACATCAAACCGTGTCTGTGTTAGGGATCATTAAACAGTTCAGTGTGCCCGGCCAGTGTGCTCAATGGTGAGCGCCAGGAGGGCACGTTCAGTTCTCAGTCAGGGCACACGCCAGGGTTGCAGGCTCGATTCCCAGTGTGGGGCGTGCAGGAGGCAGCCGATCAAATGATTCTCTCTCATCATTGATGTTTCTCTCTCTCCCTCTCCCTTCCTTTCTCAAATCAATAAAAAGTAAAAACAAACAAAAAACAAAAACATACAATGACCTGGGCTGGGGAATAGGAGCCAGTCAGGGTACCCACCTCAGGCGACAATTCACTCAGCGTCGCTGAAATTAACAAGACTTCCCGCTACGGCCCTTGTTACACTGGCTCTCGGTGGCAGAACCTCAGAACGCCGCCTTAATTTTACACCCTCTCAGACTCAGTGTGAAAGAGTTGGCATTTGCTGAAAAGAATATTGTTTCTGAGTCGTGGGTGCAGGCAAGGAGCAGCCTGGGAGCCAGAAGGGGGTTCGGGGAGCCCCATTATGAGGAGGAGACCATGGACAGGGCCCCCTTCTAGTCCCATGGCCCCGGCTGAAATGAGTGTGGACTCCATTGCCTGGACCAGCCCACACCCCCCGGGCTGCCGCCCATAAATGAAGTTAGCAAACCCTGGGAAGATAATTTTCCAATAATAACTCTTCACAGTTTCCTGCCGCCTCGAAGTACAATCAACATGTCGAGTTCTGTTCTGCAGGGAGAGAGGCGAAACCTGTGAAAATGAGTTGGAGGAGGGAGGAAAAGATAGATTTCTGAGATTTCTGCAGCTTCTTTTTAACAACACCAACCCCCCCTCCCCGCCTCCCCC